ATATATGCATATGCTTACCCTTGACAGTAACACGTTGCTTGGGAGCCTTTGGGTTGAAGCCGGGATCAGCAGGGGTCATCCATCGCACCGCCTCTGTGTTGTTGCCCCAGTCGGCGTATGTCTTGAGAGTGTCAGACCAATGTAACCTGAACGATATGCAATGCAATATACTACTCAATACAGGTATGTGTTCATACATAACACAGCAACAACGTACACATGCAAATGCACATATACACTACAGTATATGTGGATGAGTATTTTTAAGTTGATTATCAATTGTCAATACATCGATTACCAGTAGGTCGTGCATAAGATGATCATCTGATGATATGATCAAAGTATCATGAATTGGTGTATATGCATATGATGGCTATAACCATATATGGTAGTACATATATATAATGTCATATACATTCAAATACCATTAATCAGATATGATAACTTATCATATTAAAAGTTGAGACGTGAGCGCATACATCCCACGCCTATGTATGCTATAAGTGACATAGTAACACCCACAGCAGCAGCGGCTGGTGGGTACTGAGTTCCATCGACTTATAACCACTCTTATCCACTCAAAACTCCTACTCATCAAGTTTCAATTTGTTAATAACACACCTAAAACATATATTTATCCAGGATTAACGAAAAATTCAGACGGATTGGCCGAAAGCCTTGCAATGCTGGACACAGCAGACCATACCAGTAAAATCCATCGTCTCAGACTAACATTCTTTAATATGTCTCCGTAAACACATAGATGAATAATAGCACACCACTCAACATACATACATCTGCCCATAACACTCGGCATACATACATCTGCCCATAACGCCTACACATGAAGTGGGTTGTTAGTATGCAGTGTCTCTGCCTATCACACTTACGCGTTAAGTATCTTGGTATCATTGAGAGCTGCCGTAGCTTCCTCGTACTGACTCCCATCCTTGCCCACAAGCTCTGCTACGTTAGACATCGCCGACGCACCCAACAACATCCAACAACGGAGATCTAGGTGACGCTCAGTGTCAGAAGGATGCGATGAACGGGGGAAATCATCCAGTCCAGAGGTCAGTGTCTGTGTGTAGATATTTGTAAGCAAGTTATGATATTGAGGTATTTACATATACACATACAAATACACACACACACCAG